CTTGCTTGTGTGAACATAGACTTAGATCCTTTTTTTTGTACACTTAATTATTCCCTGGACTTGTGGTTATTTATCATTAGATTACAGCACTTTTTAGTTGTTAGAACATTTTAGCTATATCAAGCAAAATAGTGTGAATACAAAGATGTTTATTTTGCAGGGAAAGAGAAATATAAAAAATTTCCAGCAAGGACATTTTGTGACCTGCATGATTCTCTTTCTTGCTGTACACTTTCTTGCTGAGCATCAGGAAGAAGGGAGCTACGGTAATCTCGCTGTGTAGACGGTCTTTTTTATTTGCGTTATGATCGCCCTCCGTGCGCAGTGTGGATTATCTGTGCTGATGAGGCTTACTAGGGGATGGACTGGGAGTCACACACAGGGCCTTCTCTGCACTGACTTCAAGACCAGCAGCATTGGGCCTAAACCACCCATATGGCTTCCATCAGCCGTACCTCAAAATAAGTCACATAGCCTGCCAGGAAGCCCCTGGCAAAAGACTACCCATAAAATATATGTAAGTGTATGTTGTACAACTTCACTTTGTTTGTAGGAATTGTACAATCTTTGGAATCCCAGGGGCCAGCGTAAAAGGAAGTTAGCCTTCACTTGACAATCAGGACTGTTTTGTAATTATCTATTTTGAACAACAGAAGATGCCTTTGCAAAGAACAAAAACCCCTGGGCCACCTACCAAACTCTACTCCATTCCTCCTTGTGGTTAAAGGCATTCCTAAGTTGTCTTAAATCATGTCTGGATCTCGTTTAATTAAGCTTTGTCCACTACAGTTAGGAAGTCAGTATTGAAAGTGAATGGATTGAAATGGTCACTCACCATCACCTAGCTCTGTGACATTGTTCCTGGTACCTAAGGAATCATCCCCTGACCAGATCTGCACCCTAACTCTGATGCTTGCTAACTCCACAGCTGTCTTTGTTAGTTGTCCTTGTTATGAGGGACCACTACCTGCGATTTTTGAGATAGAACAGGTGGCCAAGAGGTAGGAGAACACAGATGTCCATAGAAGCCAAGACAGGACCAGCTTGAAGAGTATGGAGTCCTTTAAGCTGGGAGGGTGTGAAAAGTGAATCCCAAGTTCACTGCTGTTGACTTAAACTTTGGGACCACACAAAATGAGAGCCATTGTGACTGACAGATTTTAACTGATTAATCACATAACATTCAGTGTCCTCCCCCCCTTACAGCTGCCACCATTCTTCTTTACATAAAAACCTTAAATAGACCGAGTTGACTCTGTCTGCTGACTTCATGACCCCAGAGACTCTCACTTCATCACTTTAAAAATCACACAAAACTCTAGGGACCAGATCCACACCACGGCTGCTGGGGAGAATGTGTCTTTGTGTCCTAGGAGAAGGTTTAACTTACCAAACTCTGAGCAGCACCTTATTTACAAGCAAGGGAAACCATGGGGCCTTCTCCTTCCTCTGACCCCCTCAGTCTAGGCTGGTGTCTGAGCCTTACTTTCCACAGCTCCAGTAGTGATAGAAGCAGCTCTGTGGGGTGTCTGTCTCCTCTCTGTAAGTAGTTCTGCTGCCTTTGGAAATTCTTTTTTTTGGATGCTGTCTCTGATCAGAAGAGCTGGGTGTCCGTGGGGTAGGATGGAAGCCTTTTTCAGAAGACACTAGTTCTTGTAGTAATCTGGCACGAGAGACTTTTAAACAGAAGCTTAGAATCAAATGGACAGGCTTGACTTTTCCAGGACCTCTGATGTGGCTCAGTAACTTCTGAGGTCGGAATCTCCAGCTCTGCACAGGTCTGGGGAGAAGCGTGTGCCAGAAGAACACACCGTAACTGAGTGTGAGCTGTCTTTCTGTGGAGCAGTCGTACTCTCTGGTGAAAGAGAATAAAAACAGAATAAACACAGGATGACGTCACTCTAACTGTTCCCAACTCTGACAGGGATCCTCCCTGGTTAAAAAGCAAGGTGGAATTCTCTGGGGCTTTTCTGGGGAGCATTGCTCAGCAGGACCCCAAGCTGCAGAAGACGACTTTGAATGCTAAAAACTTCATCACTTAGCAAGCCATGCTCGAGTGTCTACAGGTGAAGTGACATGATGTCTTGGATTTTTAAGAAAAAAAAAAAAACAGAAACAGATGGGGAAAGACTGAAATACTGAGAATTCCAAAGCTTGGTATAGAGGCATGGAGTTTCAGTACACATTTTCTTTAAATAAGTCTGAAATTTTCTTTGGATCCTTAATAAAATGAACATGTTTATGACTTATTGGTCACATTTCTCCTTAATTTTCTATACATACTTCATCCATTTTTAAAAATCCAAGCATAGGCCCTTATTTTTATTTGCAGTGTATTTTTGTTTTGTTTTGTTTTAAAGACCTTTTATTTGCTGTATTTAAAAGCTCTATGTTATTCTTTGAAAGGCATTTGTGCCTTTGGTGTCACTTTTAGATAATTTGCCTTAACCAGGTATTGCTTGTATGGGAGCAACACACTATCTTGGTTTTAAAAGAACCACTGCAGACATCTAACCCCCTTTGCACCTTGGCATTCTGCCTGTCACCTTGTCCTCACCCCCCACCCTGGCACACTGGTGCAGTGAGCTTTGTTTATCCACAGTGTGAAAGCTTTTCCTCCTCACCCTCCCCGTGACTGCTTCCAGGGGTCCTCTTTCCCCTCCTTCACTTCAGGAGAGCCCCTCCTGGGGAGTCTCCCCACTCCCTGCTCATCCACCTCCTGCCCCCTGGCCTCACCTGGCTCTTCTCTCAACATTTGCTCCTGCCCAGGTCAGTACCAATTGTCCCTGTCTGTAGGACTGTTCCAGACCCACCATGCTATTATCAGTCAGCAAGTGGAAGTGCCTTTTAACTCACTGCTTATCCAAGTGTAGCCTCAGGTCTTCTCAAACACTACAATGCACTGTCACTTTCCTGTGCAATGCCCTGCAAAGTCCTCTAACATCTGGCCAGCTTCACCTTCCGATACATTCTCTGGTCCCTACTGTAGCCACTCCATCTCAAGAGCCATCCTCCTGGCTATGGGGTCATCGCAGACCTCACAGCCTTATCTCCTTTGTCCTCTGAGCCATGGCCCTTTGCCACTGGTCACACCTTTCCATGCTCGTCTCTTGGAAGTCCAATCATTACTGCAGCACCACCAGGAAGTTTTCTCGAGTCCCTTCCTCAGAAAGAGCCCCTGCCTCCTCGAATCCTGCCCTGGGTTTTCTGCACTCTTCCTCCACCTGGAACTGTGCTGTTGTGTTCTGTTGTCACCCTGCTAAGTTACAAGCTTGTCAAGCTAGGGGCTCTTCTTTCTCCATGCTTCTTTCAGAGGATGTAATTTTGCCCCATTGACCCTGTGTGACACACATTGGATATAATGCATAACCTATGTTTATTTGACTCTGGGTCTGTGCTGCTGTAATCTGAACTGAGCTTCTGTTTTGATTCTAAGAGCAAACTTCTAATTCATAATTGAGTTTTGAAAACTTGGTCACAATTTCCTTGTGCCTCAGGTCTCCTGGCTCATTGAGACATCAAGTGGACTGAACAGGTGTCCTCCTGTTGGTCAGCCCTTTGCCCCACCTCTACCTCATCCCATACACCCCTCAGAATAGGAGTCTGTTACGTGACTCCCAAACCTTTTTTGTTTGCTTTTGCCAACTCTCTGCTTGCCCAGTTGTCTGAAATGCCAAACTCTATTCCATCTTAGACTTCCAGACTCCTGTCCACCTGTTTGAATGCTTAGCTTTCCCACTTCTGCGAACAGTATCTAAATGCACTGTCGCCCTGGCCCGCTGAGGACATCACCAGTGTTCATAGCTGGGGCCCATTGTCCAGCAACACACCCCATCTGGTCTAGGTACTGGTCTGTCCAGTGAAGTGAACCTTTCACACGGACACACTTGAACACTTAACCAGAAGATCAACTGGTGAGCCTCGCTATGTGTTGATAGGATTGTATGGACTTCCTCTCCTGTAATTAGAAAAATATGCAGTGATTCTGTAATGATTTTTCATCTAGGAATCATGTATGTGTTTAATCAATTAAACTGTGCTAGTTAATTATGCTTTCAGAAGAGAGCCTTAATTGCTTCAGTATTTAAAGTTCTCTGAGTTGAAGTCATCCCTCTGGGTAGTTACATTTCTTTTTATCTGTTCGTGTTCGTTAACCAAGGCATTTGGAGCAATACAAGACACCTTCATCACAATGGCTGTCAACCTTTCTTGGAGGACAGATTTGTCCTGTGGGCACATTTTGCATCACCTAGACCACTTTTGTTGTCATGAGTCAGGTGCTACTAGTATACAGGAGTAGAGGCCAGGAATGCTGCTGCCTGCCTTTGTGTGTATAGGACAGCCCAGAGCACAGCACTGGACAGCCTGAATGTGAGCTTGAGACACATGGCTTCTATCACGGAGGAAAAGCAGCAGAATCATTTAGTGCCTGCTAAGTACTTCCGTGTGGTTTGGGGAGGGACATGAGACTTCTTTGAGGTCATAAGTGACCCTGTACAGTGGATGTGGATTGGTCTATTGTGAATGGGCAGTTATCTTGTATTCCATGTAGCTCACCCAACACACAGAGTGACTATGTCTTATCTTTCTCTAATCTGTGTTTTTCCTCCCTGCTACCCCACAAATGAGATGCTTTGTGTAGTAATACAGGCGATGACTGCATTGCCACCTGCTTCTCTTTCCCACATCAGTGCTTGTCACACTGTTTTCCACCTCTAGAAAAGTTCCCCTTCCCCCCCGCTCCATTCCTTTCTTGATCCCTTCTCTTACTACTATGGTGTGTGTTTTCATAGGCTTTTATCCATTTCCTTGTCCCTAAATGAAGCAGCATCAATTCTTTGTGGAAACATTTCATTGCAAAATTTAGCATTCGATTACTGCTCACAGCAGTTTCAATCCATGAAACATACCAGTGTCAACTTATGACAGGAAGCACAAGAGGTACTTTATTTGGGGATAGGAGACATGACTTACCTGTTGACTTGTGTTGACCTCCACAGGTCTACCTGATGATGACGGGTATTCACGACTGTGTGGGAGTGGCATGGCAGCTGCATCATTTCAGAGGCACCGGGAGAGTCACACAACTCAGGTAACAATGCTGTATGCTCACCTGTACAATAAAAAGTGAAATTACCTTATGACAAATTTATTAAATTTTGACTGACACATTTTCTTCTTGGACCAGAGAACTCAAGTGATTCTCACTTCTTCCCTGTACTCCTTCAATTCAACCTTCTTCTTCCTTCTCTGTTTCTTGATCATTTCAAAAAAGAAAGAATGTCTGAAACAACTAAAACTAGCAACGTTTTGAATGGACTACTGTAGACATAACTGATGCTATGGTGCTTTAAAATTGCTATCAGATGACAGTGGTATGAAACCTGAATGATCTTGATACATTTTCTGCATTTGGCTTGGGCTAAGAGGAAGACTACAGATGATCAGAACAGGGAAATGAAGCCTTGACAACCCACTAAATCTCAGGGTCTTGAATTCTATGTACTCAGCTTCCTTGAAGATACGCAGCTGATGCTACACTTCACAAATGCTGTGCGTTCACACGCAGTTTCATGTGCACCGTGGATTTCATACCAGCGCTCAGTGTGCTTGGCCCTAGCGATTTCACCAAAATAAAGATTATTCAAGAGAAAATAAAAACACTAGTATTTTTAGAGAGAGAAATGATTTATGTAATAGAATTTAATGTCATTTCCTTCCTTGTTACATTGTAAACAGTACTTTTCATAATTATCTTGAAAAAAGATATGGCATTGAATTCAAGGTGGTACACAAATCAACGCCTATGAACACTTTATTATGGCTATATTAAGTGTTCTTGCAATAGCTACAGGACTCTTATAAGAAGTGGCAGCCCAATTTTTATTATGTAAGCGTCTACTTAAAAATCTAAAACAATCTCAGTCTGGAATCCAGACATTTCATGAAGTCAACTGTCCAGCTAATGACCAGCTTTCACTGGAATATTTGGATTAGGTAGACACTGCCATGGTATGACCTGAGATTTTTCTAGATAAAACTAATGAAGCAGTGAGAAAAACCCATAATTTTAATCTTAAAAATAAATCTTACATCCGGCAATCTGCTGGCATCACTTGCACTGATACTGAAGAAAATGCTGGTTGGTGGTAATAACAGATTTCCCCTACCACACACACTGCTTAGGGATGCATCTTCTTCACCTTGCAAGCCTTATAGATGCCTCATCTCTGAGCTCACGGGGGAGCCTCCCATCGTGATCACTGGCTTGATTTTTGTTCCACGTTGATTTTGTTCCTTCATGTTGCAGCACAATGGCAGGCTGTCTGACACCCTGTCAGGCCTTCCGCTACAATGTGACTCTCAGAGAAAAGGAGTGATTTTGAGGGAAGGTTCATAAGATAGAAATCTCTGGACTTTTTCTCCCTTCTTTCATGGGTTTGGCTAAGAAGCAGAGAGACAGAAGAAAGATCACGGGATGCATTTTGCATTCCCAGTTACCAAAGGGGACTTGGTTTCAAATACAAACACCTCTGGTGCAGCAGGGAAGGGAGAGCTAGCCTTCTCTCCATGCTGATAGTGGGAACTCACATGCTGGGACAGAGAACTCACTGCCGAGAAGCTGTGAGTTATGTGACACTGCGGTTGAATGGCCACATGTCTTCCAGAATTTATCTCTCCTTTGACATTTGTAGAGGAAGAAGTATGGGCATACAGGCATACTCATTTCTGTGAGTCCAATTCAACAGGGATCCCATAAAATCAGTCCTGGACGGATTAGACCTATAGCACAGAAACGAAATGTAGACAAAATATGGAATTTCAACTTGAGGATGTCTATATTTTTTAATTAGCATCATCGGGGATTTTAATGACACCCCTTTAAGGAAGGTAGAATGTGTGGATATTGTTGGAGAGAAACAGGACCAAGCTGTAGTCATTTGCCAAGGGTAAGATGGAAAGTCCACAGTTGTAATGGATGGCGTGGTCATATATCCCACTTGCAAACCCTTAAAGGGAATGTAGTTCTTCAGCTTTTTGGCAAAGTTGAAGAATTTTTGGTTCAAAGTCAAAGTAACTGAAGTAGGCATTTGTGGTGCTTTGGTTTGGTTTGGTGTGGTGGGTTTTCATTAGTTTGCTGTTGTTTTGTTTTGCTGCTAGTCTCCCTTTTGTATCTACTTTTCTTTACCTTCCACAATGATAATATAAAGGGAGAGGTCCCCTCCCTCTTCTCCTTTGGTGAGGGATGAATAGCAGTCTGGGGGTAAGCAGAGGAACACAAGTCTGAGCACTGCTGCTGCCATGTGGCCCATCTGACCCCTGTTCCTCTCTCTTGGTGTCCTTCCCCTTTCCAATACAGCCCACCCTGCAGAACGTGCCCAGAACCCCTTTCTACTGCTGTCAAGTAAGAACCTTGACTGACACACTAATTTAATTAAATTGTTATTGTCCACATAGTACATTGAATCTGCATTATATCCAAAGAGGAATGTTTCACCCGAAGCGTCCAAGCTTTTATAGTTTTGTTTGGTTTTGGTGGTAGGGATTGAACCCAGGGCCTGGGGAAGCTAAGCTATACCCCAGCCCTCTGTTTTCTTAACATAGGCATGAAACACTGTCTGATAGCCGCAGAATCTCAGTAAAGAGCAGTTGCTTCTTTCCTTGAGATGTCAAATATGGAAAATGTCATTGTATTATGCTCCACCTGAACATTTATACATTTGCAGACGATGGTGGCTTTACCAAAGGAGTAATAATTAATTTCCTGCATGGAACTGGAAATGCTGAAAGCCAAGCACTCGCATGACAGCATAGAAGGCTCAGTGTGTCCATGCTGTGACCCACAGTACATACATGACCTCTGAGCACTGGGCATGAATACAGTGAAAGAATGATGTCATGGGATTCCAGGCACTGGCCTGGAAGACAGCTTTGTGGATCACAGCTGGGATGTCATGGGTCAGCAAAGTATCGCAAGCTGGTTTTGGAGTTAGACAGCATTTCCAGAAGTAATATGACATTCATCTACCTGCATTTTATGAGGTCTGAATACCTTTTTTAAAGACTGTGCTATTTGGCATGGTGGAGTCTATTAGAAGTAGCATAGGGGAGAGAGAAAGTCAGTGAGTGACATGACTTCCTGAACTCTGTGGTGATCCGTGCTTGTCCCCCTCTGATGACTCAGAGGGCCTGGTGACCTGACATGGGAAGGCTGGGCATTGCACATGAATGCAGCCAAAGCTTCAGAGTGGGGGACAGTGGGGACAGGACAGTGGCAGAGAGGATGAGTTGAAAAAGGTGCCTGCCCTCAGCACAAACACTGCCTCTTACGAATCTCTTGAGGAGTTCATACCTGACTTTGAGAAGTGAGATGTTTTGTCATACCTTTTCTTTGTTTTTCCAAACATGGTTCATTTATATTTACATTAACACTTGACTTTATCCCTTCTTCCTCTGCCTTTCCACTCTCTCAGCTGCCATTATTCTCCACAGCAATGTCTGCGCTTCCTGCTCCTTTATTCTCATTGTGGGCTTTAATCAGATTTCCTGCTAAACTTTAAAGAATCTTCTTTGGCTTTTTGAAAGAACATAAAAGTTTACTATGGGCATTAGTCATATCCAGATATTTGCTGTAAGAAATCATTGAAGGCTTGGTAAAACAGTGGTGATCCAGCACTCAAGACCTTAATAAATGTCTGGCCCACTCTTGACAGAGCCGCCAATGAAAGCCATAAAATAATCAACATGAAATTGATCCACATCACGAAACAAATTGTTATGTGGTTTGTTTTACTGGATCATCAAAGAAACCTTTTCGAGATGCCATATATCAACAAAATTAGAGTTGCCAGGCACTAAGTAAATCCAATGTCTTCCTCCTATATTTATTCTGTTGTTATAAGGACTGCTTGGAAGATATCATAGCATGAAATGGAAACAAATTGTACGTTAGTTGAAATAATGAAATGTAGTCACATTAAGGGATGATTTTAAAGCACCTGCCAGGAAACAAAAACTACGTAATCCTTTCCAAAGGATCTGTCTGTCTTTATCTCTCTCTCTATCTATCCATCCATCCATCTATCCATTCATCTATACATACATCCATCTGTCTGTCTTTCTAAGCTAAAAACAGAGGGAGACCCAGCATACGAAGTGCTTTCTCACAACTGAGCTTCCAGGGAATCAATATTCACCACTTACATGCTGTGTGCAACAAATGGAGACAGTAAATTAATTTGATGGTGTAAGTGAAATAGCACTACTTTCAGCAGGGAAAGACCAAGCCCTGTATAGATAAATAGAGACTGGAAAAAACCTACATGCTGTATTTTATATTTTTCATCATAAAATTGCACCATTTGTATAGCCTAAATATTCCTCTTTTATTTGGTGGTACTTGGGTTTGAAATACTCGAACCATGCCCACAGCCCTTTTTGCTTTAGTTGTGTTTTGACGAGTCTCACATTTTCACCCAGGTTGGCCTGACTCATGATCTTTGTACCTGTGTCTGCACTGCTGCAATCACAGGTGTTTGAGCCATGGCACCTGGCCCCATGTATGTGATTTTTAACAAAAATATCTTATTATGGAACATTTTAGACTTATTTTTAGAAAAGCACAGTGACTGGTAAAACAACGATCTTCAATGAATCAAACATTTTGCCATATTAGCTTTGGAACTCTATTTTTAGAGAAATCAATAGTTTTTGATCCCATCCCTTCTGCCAAACCAGAAGTGAATCATTGTCCTATAGTCAGCCCACAGTCTTGTCCACATCTGCCCTTTTCTAAGTGTGCACGTCTATAAGTCACACAGCATGTGTTAAGAATAGTAGACACTCTCTGCATGTGTTTATTTGCATTTTACAGATTATTCAGAAAATGCTTATTTTTGGTGTTGAGATGGGATTTTTTTTTCTGTTTTGATCCACGTTGCTCCTTCAATATTTTATTCTGAATTTTAACTCCAGTTTAAATGTGAGGCCTCAGAGTTGAGACGTCAATACTGAGAGCATCTTCTGATGATGGTGCACAACAGCTTAGCCCAACACTGCATCTGTCTTCCTTCAACAAGCTCGGCAAGGAGC